AGGGAGTATAGTTTATTAAGGAGGAGGGGGTGGTCAACTGTGTCGAAGGCTGCGGAGGGGTCGAGGAGTAGGAGGACTGAGTAGTGGCCAATAGCAGGTCATTAGTGATTTTGAGTAGGGCAGTTTCAGTGGAGTGTAGGGGGTGGAAGCCAGACTATAGTGGATCGAGGAGGGTTTTTGTCATTGAGGTGGGAGCTTAGGCGATTGTAGACTAAGCACTCGAGGCGTTTGGATGAAAATGGCAGCAGGGAGATGGGTCTAAGGTTGCTCAGGTCGGTGAGGTCCAGGGAGGGTTTTTTGAGTATGGGAGTGATGTGCGTGTGCTTTAGGGGGGAGGGGAATGCGCCAGTAGAGATTGAAGATGTGGGTGAGGGAGCATAGGATGGAGGAGGAGGAGGGAAACCGGAGGAGTTGTGTGGGGACAGGGTCAAGGGGGCAAGTGGTGAGGCGGGCTTCTGAGAAGACCTTAGTGACCTCTTCAGTGGTAGCATGGCTGCAGGAGTGTTGGGGAGGTTTTAGTGTGCGGGATGTTAGGTGTGGTGGGGGTCAGGGCGGTTGCGAGGTCAGAGGAGGGGAGAGTTGAGGGGGTTATATTGGGAGGGAGGCTAGGTGGGGAGGTAGATTGAGCATTGGCGATGTCTTTACGGATTGCGTCGATCTTGTTTTGGAAGTGGTTGGCAATCTCGTGGGCGGTGAGTGAGGTACTGGGTCGAGGTGGGGGGGGAGAGAGTAGGGAGTTGAAAGTGGAGAAGAGCCAGCGAGGACAGGTGGAGAGGGTATTGATGAGGGTTACGAAGTAGGCTTATTTGGCGACGTGGAGGGAGGAGGTGTAGGTGAGGAAGGCGGATTTGTAAAGGGTGAACGCTTGAGGGAATCTGGTTTTGCGCCATAATCGCTCCAGCGCACGACTGCGTCATTTAAGATTTTTGCTGTGGTCGTTCTGCCAGGGTCTAATGCTGCGTGTGGTTAGGGGTGCTAAGGAGTCTAAGGCAGCTGACAGCGAGTTGTTATACGCAGTAGTGCCCAGGTCAGGGCAGGACAGTGGAAGGATACTGTCATAAAGACGGTCAGCTGCAGAGTGGAGAGGGGCCGGGTTCAGGTTGCGGAGGTTATGGCTGGTGATGGTTTGACGTTTGGGGGGGGGGTGTTTAAGGACGGGGAGACGAAGAACGTAATGAGGTTGTTGAAGTTGAAGACATCCTGTAAGGACGTTATTCCACTGCACAGCTTGGTGTCATTTGTAAAGACTGAAATGGGATTTGTAATCTCAGACCCTATATCGTTTATAAATATATTAAAAAGTAAGGGTCCCAACACTGAACCCTGGAGTACACCACTGATGACCCCAGACCATTCAGAGTATGAGTCATTACCCACTACTCTTTGAATATGATCTTTTAGCCAGTTTTCTATCCATTTAGGTGCAGACCATGTCTAGCATATAGGTTGCACCCCAAAGAAAAGTCAGCCCAGTGCTCTAGAAACCCAAATCCTTCCCTCTTACACCAGGTCTTTAGCTATGCATGAGTTCTCTAATCTCTCCCTGTCTTTCCTGAGTTGCGCATGGCACAGGTAATATTTCAGAGAATATCACCTTGGAGGTCCTTCCCTTCAACTTGCAGCCTAGTTCTTTAAATTGATTCTTAAGGAGCCTCCACCTTCCATGTATTCTGTCATTGGTTCCAACATGAACCAAGACAGCTGGGTCATGCCCAGCCCCTCCCAATAATTTATAAACCCGGTCCACCACATGCCAAACCCTGGCAAAAGGGAGACAGCAAAGAACTCGGTTGAGGCAATCCTGGCAACAAATTATTCTATCAGTCCTTCTGATCATAGAATCCCCTACTACCACCAGCTGTCTAGGCCTTCCTGCACTACCCTCACCACCCCTCCCAGATGGTCTGCCCTCCTGGCTGTTAGGGATAGCAGTGATATCCAGGGCTGCCACCCCTGAGCTTGTATGAACAGGAGCCAGGCGCTGTGTAGTTTTGTGATAGAAATAATACACCTTGTATGGAGGTGTGTCTTTAATAAGTCATATGGTAAAACAATAATAAATAACCAGCCTGTGGCTTTAGGAAGCCAGGTTCCAAGATGGACGGCCCGTCCGCTCAGAGGGAAGCAGTGGAGTAGAATGCCTGTCAGTGCAGGGACCACGTTTACCCGACGTCCCAGCGTCCTGGATGACGTCACCACGATGTGGAGAGACAGAGGGGGGGAACTCTTGCTGGAGCCGCAGCTTTAGAAGGAAGAGGCCGGTTGCTGGGACAACATGTTTCGCGCGCATGCGCTTTGTCAAGGACTTGACAAAGCGCATGTGCGCGCGAAACATGTTGTCCCAGCAACCGGCCTCTTCCTTCTAAAGCTGCGGCTCCAGCAAGAGTTCCCCCCTCTGTCTCTCCACATCGTGGTGACGTCATCCAGGACGCTGGGACGTCGGGTAAACGTGGTCCCTGCACTGACAGGCATTCTACTCCACTGCTTCCCTCTGAGCGGACGGGCCGTCCATCTTGGAACCTGGCTTCCTAAAGCCACAGGCTGGTTATTTATTATTGTTTTACCATATGACTTATTAAAGACACACCTCCATACAAGGTGTATTATTTCTATCACAAAACTACACAGCGCCTGGCTCCTGTTCATACCTCCCACAATCTGATGTGTTTTTACCATGGCAGCAGTGAGTTTTTTCCCCACCAATCATAGTTGACATATACCATTCACTTATTTCCTTTGGGACACATCTGTGCGCTTTTATCCAGACCGTTCACCCCTGAGCTTGCCACCCCCACATCTTCACCCAACTTGGCAAATCTGTTTGGGTACTCAAACCCAGGGCCAGCCTTCCTTTTCTGTGAGCTCCTACCTCTCCCTCTTGTTACAGTAACCCATCCTCCTACCTGATAATCCTGATTAGCCCCTCCGCCCTCCACACCAATCCCATTAGCGACCTGCTCAGAGAGCAGAAGACCCCTTTCAAGGTTGATAGTTCTGCCCAATGTTGCAACTTGCTCCTCCAGATCTCTAACACGAGATTCCAGAAGGGCAACCCGCTCACATCTGTCGCAGCGGTATCCATCCTGGAGCTGTTATTCCATTGCTGCATACATGCTGCACACTGTGCACTGCACAAAACCCTCAACCCTGCTAGCACTCTTATCCCAGTTACAATATTAACAGGAAATATCAGATGTCACTTACAGGTTATCAGACTCCTGTTATAATCTCCTGTTTACAACTCCGGTTTTTAACTCCACTCAGTCAAAGGTCCGGCAAGCAAAATACAGGCAAGCTCATAGTGAGCTCTACAGCAAGTTATATAGGACCTGTATCACCTGTGACCAAGTAACCCCTCCCTTTAATTAGCAGAGTGAAGGAAGACAAGGATAGGAAGAAAAAAAATGCTATTTAAAAAGTGACAGAAAAAGGGATTTAAAAAAGTAAAAGCTTTTAGCAAGACCAAAAGAAGAAAATAAAACAACTACAAACACCAGCAATCACCAACAGTCAAAAGTAAAACTTTTGAATTTCCCACTCTTTTTAGTGATCAGCCAGCACAAAATGCCAGACCCTGCACATTAATTAAGAAATGTTGCATAATCTGACCCCCCCCCCCCCCCCCCCCCCCCCCCCCCCCCCGGATATTTGCCTGTGTCCTCACTTGATCCATTGCTATGCCCGTCTGCAGCAGCTGTCCACACTCACACAGGATTTTCTGAGGCAGCAGGAGCCATTGGCTAGAGCAGGGGGCAGGGTGAGCAGTGTTGCCTGTGTCTATGGATGAAGGCATTGCTGCGTGGGATTAAGCCCACAGTTGTGCAACAACAGGAAGCTGCTTCCTATGGTGGCACAATAAGGAGAAGTGGAGCCAGGAACATTGGTGGGGGCTGAGCATACCCTTTGGTGCTATATAAATACTGTATAATAATAATAATATAATAATTCTAGAAGCAGAGGATCACGGCCACAATGTGCAATTCTATTGCACAGAGAAGGTAAATATAATGTTTGTCATATACAGTGTATGTATACATACATACGCATTACAATCACTTCTGTTATGTAAATGAATAAAAGCTTACCATTTAAGAAACCCTATCAGTGTTAAAGTGTTACTAAACCCACAACAGTAAAATCAGTCTGTATATGCATTAAAGCATGCCTGTTATACTTCACTGTGGAACCTAAGGGGTTAATACTTTGTATTGTGTAAAAAAGGTGGTTTGATCCTGTCTTCTCTGATCCTCCCCTTCTTCAATTGTCCCCAATCCATCTGCTGATAGTACAGAGCTCTAGGAGTCACTCTGCACATGCTCAGTTTGGTGTGTATTGCTAGAGCTTTTTTTTTTTTCTTTGGGAGGGTCATGTGATCAGCACAGGGCCAATGAGCACTGTTCAGACAGAGGGTCAGGGGTTATGCAACCTCATAAGACAGTCAGAAAAGAATGAAAACTCCTCCTAAAAGATTAACCAGTGCTTGATAGAAGTCACAAGATTGCTATATACTGCTGATGAGAAAAGGTATTTAGCAGTTATATTTACTAAAATAATTGCATTTCCATGTTCTGTGTACTGTGGAAGACCAGATATAGTAAATGCAGGGCCCTGGGTTTAGTAACACTTTAAATAGCTTGTTTCAACCTTCTAACTGCCACTTTTGCTGGACAGCTTGATCTGTTAAAGAAAGTCTAAAAAATAACAGACTTACTGGACAGATCACCTGGTAAAAATAAAGGAAAAACACCTAAAATATAAAACTAATGCAGCCACCACAACTATATATTGGTAAGCTGCAATATAATAAATGTTTGCCTTTGGGTTTATATACACTTTAACCTGTCTCCTACTACACAATCACAATATCCCCCCATTTGAGGAATCATTTGTGATTGCTGCTAAAATCAATAGCCATATATTCAAATCTGCAACTGTATATTACCTTCTTTGTGATTTACAAAATAATATAGTTATATTTGTGTATTAAGAGATGATAGAGTTAAAGACCATTTCTGGGGAAAAGCAGAAAATTCTCTCTCTTGCAGTGGGGCTGCACCCACACTGCTAGTTTTAAGTGCTTGTTTCTATCTGGAATGCACTTTTACTTACATAGTCCTCCACTTCTCCCCCAACAGAGAGCATTCGCCTTTACTCCCTAATACTGTCCCTGCAGTGGACTGTCCCTCAAGGTCCTCATGTCCAATGCAGGACTATGTGCACTGCATTGGACTTGAAAATGTCAGAGGACCTGCTACCACTGGAGCCTAGGGAAGAGGAGGCTGCACGGACTTCTCTTTTAGCCTGGAGGGAGCCTGCAGGAGCGGATCATCAGGTAAGTAAAACTGCTTCGCTGCGCCTGTAGACCTAAATGACTATTTAACCCTTGCTATGCAGGGGTAGCCCCATCATAAAGGAGGATTTTTCCTTTCTTTGGTGATCAGTTTTAATTGATTTGTATATATTTTTTCTGGTGGCATTGATTTTTCAGCCTGTGTTACTAGGATAATGTAAATGGGTATTTCAATATTAGCCTGAGGAAAGGGGTAGTGTAATGTGGCCCAAAACATTTCCCAATAGCATATATCCATATTTTTCATGCTTTGATAAAAATAATTCAAAAACAGGAAAATTACATCTCAAAAAGATAAGGATGAGCAAAACATCAATCTTAAAAAAAATCATTATAAAGTATACAAAATCTTACTTTGGCTACATAGAAAACATTTCTATCACTTGAATGTCAACACACTATTCAATATTATTTTTTAGATTTTTAGACAAATATCGATTTGTGTGTTTACATTTTGGTGTTCTTTGCACAAGTTGAAGTGATCGAAATGTTTTCTATGTAGTCAAATAAAGCAGGATTTAGTATACTTTGTAATGATTTTTTGTGATTAGTGTTTTGCTCATCCATATCTTAATTTTATGGTTTATTAAAAAAAAAAAGATCTGAATACTGAATACCTTATATTTTCTGTATCACACATTTATATATATTTCTATGTAGGTTTTACATTTGGGTCATTAAGTATTTCCTTTTCAGTCCCCCCTGTAACTTAAAATACCTTTCTGAACTACAGAAAATGCTTAACGTGTGTGAAGGCATGCACTATTTTATATTCACACTAGAAGAGGGATGCATGAACACTTCCCCTCGACTTATTCCCATCACTCACCCAGAGCTTCAGAGAACAGCACAGCTACCAGGAGCAGACAGAGCCCAGGGAGCCCACAAGTGGCAGCTGTAGACATGACCCACAAGAAAGTTGAGATCATAACATCACATCAGTGCTGCTGCTCCCCCTCCTCCACTTCTCTGTAGCCAGAATCCTCTCTTGCTTCCTTCCTTCTCCTCCTCTTCCACTTCCCCTCACTCCTCCTCTCAGCCTGGATATCTTCCCTTAAACCTCCCCTTCTCCTTTCTCTCCCCATCATCATTCTTTCTCTATGGTCACTCTTGTACCCTATACTTTATTCAGTTTAGGCTTTCCAAGTAAAACAAAAGCATAACTTAATTTGTGAACTCTGTGAAGGAAATACCATCATACCTTACTCATCTAAGCCATGTGTGCTAAACGTTGAAGTTAACATTTTTTTTACAACAATAAAAAAAAGTTATGCTACCAGTACCATTGTAGCAATATTTGGCAAAAGCCCCTATCAAATTAGAGAGCTCTTTGCACATGTAAATACCTTAAACTGACCTATCTCAAAAGTTACTTTAAAAACATTTTTTTTAAACTATAATTACTAATTAATCTTAAATGATAGCACCATCCAGCTGCACACAACTGAAATTGCAGATCAGGCTGGCAGTGTGAATGTCTAACTTGCCTGCAGAAATGGGAAGAAAAAGAACAGAGACAGTGACCCAAGTCAAATTTGCTGCCTCTCCTACAGACAGCCCTGAGTCTCAGAATTACATGCACTTGGTGTACATTAAAGGTCATGCATTTAGCAGTAATTGAATCCTAAATCTGGTCATAGATGGATCAAACTTTTGATCCAGCTATGGCCATTCCCATTTGTGAGATGTTAAACTTATGATTGATTTCTCACAACCGGACTTGTTGGAAAAGTTTTGTTCAATCAGCACTGCAGCTAATCTGCAGCAGCACTGATCAGTACATTCTGACAGTGGAACAGTTCTCGCTGTCAGAATACAATAGCACAGGGAGGATTCCTGTGAGGGGATCCATTCACCTGTCAATGAGCCCCTTACTGATCGAAAGAAATCTGACCAATACATGCTCAGCTTAAAGTGTTTACTAAACCCAGTACCCTGCATTCACTATGTCTGGTCTTCCACAGTACACAGAACATGGAAATGCAATTATTTAAATAAATATAAACTGCTAAATATCTTTTCTCATCAGCAGTTAGAGCAGTCTTGTGACTTCTATCAGTGTCCAGCAGAGCACATGTTAAAGCTTGTAGGAGGAGTTTTCATTCTGCTCTAGGAGGATGCAAAACCCCTGGCACCACTGTCTGGACAGTGCTGATTGGACCTGTGCTGATCATATGCAGTCTCCCAAGAAAAAAAAATATCTCTAGCAATACACACCAAACTGAGCATGTACAGAGTGACTCCACATGATGTGTCTTATCAGAAGATAAGAGGGGGACACTGGAAGAAGGGAAGATCAGAGAAATCAGGATCAAACAGCATTTTTACACAATGAAAATGATTAACCCCTTAGGTTCCACAGTGAGTATAACAAAGCCAAAGAGAATCTGCTTTAATCAGATGCAGCCACTTGTGTGGGGCATTTTGACAGCTGTGGGGCTGGCTGGCTGGCTGGCTGGAGCTGAAGAATCTCTTAGAGGTAAGGTGTGTTAGTCAGTACATTTTTTTTACCTTCATGCATTCCCTGCCTTAAGGTAAAAAATATTTCAGCTGTTGTGTTTTCTCACTTCCCTAAAGAATGTCCTGTTTCAATCCACCGCTGTGTCCATCTTCAGCAACACTCTCCTCTCTCTCACCTCACAGGACATGGAGGCAGCAGTGAGAGCCATTGGAGGGAGTGGTTGGTGGGGTCAAGGCATGCTGGACTACTATGGACACACAGAGCCTGGCTCGGGAGTGAGCCGCAGGTGTGCCCCATAGGGAATAGTTTCATATGGTGGTGCACAGAGAAGGACAAGAATTACTACTGCACATTTTGCCTGCTGTCATACTCTCCTCACTATCTCCTACACATCCTGTAAACCGTCATACCTTCCACAGTTCTCTCTTACCCCTAACATACCCTTGACATCCCTTTCCTGCACATACCATCCACTATCATACCCTTTGCAATCTTTTGCACATTCTGCTTCCTGTTATACATTCTCTCCTGCAAATACTATATGCCCATATGTGTATTCCTTTACTGAACATACTCAGGGGCGGCACTTTTTAGGGGGGCGGCATGGCAGCGCCACCCCCCCCCCTTTTTCCAACAGAAGGGGACACTTAGGACAGGGGCTGCTGTGTCTTACCTTTCTCTGCGACTTCGTGTCCCACTTCGATACGGTCCACGAGGAGCTGCTGCAGTAGGGGTAGAGAGGTTGTCCGGTCCGGTGTCTTCATTTCCCTGGATCTTGGATCGCGATGCGGGTGGTATGACATGCCGCCCCTCTCATCTGGCCACACCCCCAGGAACATTGGGCAGCCTATGGAAGCCCGTCCCTCCCTCTCCAAGCTCCACCTCCTCGTCGGTGTTTGGCTGCCGTCCCTGTAGCTCAGGGAAAGCACACTGGCAGAGAGGAGGAGCCGAGTGGCAACGTGAAGATCGAAGAAGCTGAGGGACCGCCGAAGCCGGTGAAGAGGAGGAGAGCGGTCGGAGAAGGAAGAAGGAGAAGGTAAGTGTCCGTGCTTGGCTTGGTAAGGTACAGTGAAGGAAATAAGTATTTGATCCCCTGCTGATTTTGAATGTTTGCCCACTCACAAAGAAATGATCAGCCTAAAAATCGAATGGTAGGTTTATTGTAACACTGAGAGACAGAATAGCAACAAAAAATTTTAAAGAAATGCATGTCTAACAAAATATGCGCTGATTTGCATGTTCATGAGGGAAATAAGTATTTGCTCCCATTCAAAAAACATGATTTAGTACTTGGTGGCAAATCCCTTGTTGGCAATCACAAAGGTCAGACGTTTCCTGTACTTGGCCACCAGGTTTGCACACATCTCAGGAGGGATTTTGGCAGATCCTCTCCAAGTCATTAAGGTTTGGTGGCTGACGTTTGGCAACTCGAACTTTCAGCTCCATCCACAGATTTTCAATCGGATTAAGTTCTTGAGACTGGCTAGGCCACTCCAGGACCTTAATATGCTTCTTCTTGAGCCACTCCTTTGTTGCCTTGGCCATGTGTTTTGGGTCATTGTCATGCTGGAACACCCATCCACGACCCATTTTCAATGCCCTGGCTGAGGGAAGAAGGTTCTCACCCAAGATTTGACGGTACATTGCCCCGTCCACCGTCCCTTTGATGCAGTGCAGTTGTCCTGTCCCCTTAGTAGAAAAACACCCCCCAAAGCAGAATATTTCCACCACGTTTGACAGTTGGGATGGTGTTCTTAGGGTCATAGGCACCATTCCTCCTCCTCCAAACACGGCAAGTTGAGTTGCTGCCAAAGAGCTCAATTTTGATCTCATCTGACCACAGCACTTTCAACCAATCCTCCTCTGCATCATTCAGATGTTCAGTGGCAAACTTCAGACGGGCCTGGACATGTGCTTTCTTGAGCAGAAGGACCTTGCGGGCACTGCAGGATTTCAATACTTGTCAGCGTAGTGTGTGTTACCAATTGTTTTCTTGGTGACTGTGGTCCCAGCTGCCTGGAGATCATTGACAAGACCCTCACGTGTAGTTCTGGGATGATTCCTCACTGTTCTCATGATCATTGACACTCCACGAGGTGAGATCTTGCATGGTGTACCAGACCTAGGGAGACTGACAGTTGTTTTGTGTTTCTTCCATTTGCGAATGATTGCACCAACTGTTGTCACCTTCACACCAAGCTTCTTGGTGATAGTTTGGAAGCCCAGTCCAGCCTTGTGTAGGTCTACAATCTTGTCACTGACATCCTTGGACAGCTCTTTGGTCTTTGCCATGGTGGAGAGTTTGGAATCTGATTGTTTGATTGCTCCTGTGGACAGGTGTCTTTTATACAGGTAACAAAATGAGATTAGCAGCACTCCCTTTAAGAGACTGCTTCTAATCTCAGCTTGTTACCTGTATGAAATAGACCTGGTAGCCAGAAATCCTGCTGAATGATAGGGGATCAAATACTTATTTCCCTCATGAACATGCAAATCAGTGCATAATTTGTTAGACATGCATTTCTTTTGAATTTTTTTGTTGCTATTCTGTTTCTCGGTGTTACAATACACCTACCATTCGATTTTTAGACTGATCATTTCTTTGTGAGTGGGCAAACATTCAAAATCAGCAGGGGATCAAATAATTGTTTCCATTACTGTAAGTGTGGGAGCAACAGTGCCCCATCATTGGTGTCAGTAACATGGGACACTATTGCTCCCACTGACACCAATGATGGGACATTATTCCTCCCACTGACACCAATGATGGGGCACCATTCCTCCTACTGACACCAATGATGGGCTACCATTCCTCTCATTGACACCAATGATGGGGCACTATTCCTCCCACTGACACCAATGATGAGGCACTGTTCCCCACTGACACCAATGATGAGGCACTGTTCCTCCCACTGACACCAATGATGGGGCACTATTCCTCCCACTGACACCAGTGATGGGGCACTATTCCTCCCACTGACACCAATGATGGGACACTATTCTTCACACTGACACCAATGATGGGACACTTTTCCTCCCACTAACACCAACAATGGGGCGCTATTCCTCCCACTGACACCAATGATGGGTCACTATTCCTCCCATTGACAACAATGATGGGGCACTATTCCTCCCCCGTTGACACCAATGAAAGGGAACTATTGCTCCCACTGACACTAATGATGGGGCGCTATTCCTCCCACTAACACCAATGATGGGGCGCTATTCCTCCCACTAACACCAATGATGGAGCTCTATTCCTCCAACTGACACCAATGATGGGGCTCTTTTCCTCCCGCTGACACCAATGATGGGACACTATTCCTCCCACTGACACCAGTGATGGAGCACTATTCCTCCCACTGACACCAGTGATGGAGCACTATTCCTCCCACTGACACCAGTGATGGGGCACTATTCCACCCACTGACACCAGTAATGGGGCACTATTCCTCCCATTGACACCAGTGATGGGGTATTATTCCTCCCACTGACACAAGTGATGGGGCAGTATTCTTCCCACTGACACAGTGATGGGGCACTATTCTTCCACTGACACCAATGATGGGGCAGTATTCCTCCCAATGACACCGATAATGGAATAAAATAAGAGGTGGAGCGCTAAAGAGGAAGGGTAGAATTTACAGATGAAGGAGTGGATCTTAAACAGGAAGGGGTGGGAAAAATTTAGATGCAGGGGGGTGCCCGATTTTAGTCTTGCCTAGGGCAGCACAATACCAAAATACACCACTGCACATACTGATTGGTTGCATACCCTCCACAGTCCTTTCCACAATATACTGGCTGCTGCCATATCCTTGGGATTGCTTTCCTGTACATACTGCCAACTTTCATACCTTCCTGCAATATTCAGCTCCAGTTACAGGCATAATATTGCTAATTATCTTTAATTTTACACTAGAGATATGTTATAGGTTAGGCTTACCTTAAAAAATATTTGCAGGGAAAAAAAAGTACATTTATTATTTATTTCCACAGGTGCCTGCAAAGCATTGTAACCTCACTTAGTGGATGGTCAGTCTAATGCCAGGCTCCTGCCAACTCTTCCTCTAGTTCTCTGCCCATATCAGGGTATAGGCTTTAGGTTGGAAAGCTAGGGGAAGTGCTAATGGACTATGAGTGTGGTGATCACCACACTTGCATTTGATTGTATTGAGAACAATGGTGGCAAATGGGTCTTGTAACTCATTCATTCACATATCTCTCTGAATGAATGACATGGCATTGCAGGTCAAGCCCTGCTCAGCGAGACCGATTTCAAAAGTGATTTGTGATTTTATTGTGTACTGTGTGCTGATTTACTAAGCAGACCTGCTGCTTTCTATTTCACTGCAGCATGTCCATGATGACAGGAGAGAGATCTGTGTTGTTTACACACAGATCTCTCCCCTCTCAGCTTTGCCAACGATCACCCAGTGATTGACATCCACAGGAGCCAATAGCAGGCGGTTAGGGCGGTGCACATACGCTCCCACCCGGAAATGCAAAATCATGTATATGGACATGATTTTGCCCAGCAAAGCCTTCTTGTGGCAGTACATCTGCTATGGGGCAGTGGGCAAGTGGTTAATAATTTATAAACATTTTACACAATTAAGACAATTTCAT